TGGCTCTCCGTGCGCCCCGGCGTCCAGCGGCCGGCCGCTGCCTCCATATTACACACGAACAGCTAACGGCTGGCGTTGCCTCACCGGCGCCATTGTAGTATCGAAACCCGTGACGAAATCCCGTTTTTCTCTGCGGCGGCGGCGCGATTGCAGCGCCGGGCGACATTGACATTGGCTGTGCCGGCCGGGTCGCCCGGCTGGTTACGCGGCGCCTGACCTCCGCTGCCGCCGGGCCGGCGCACGCCGCCGCGCCGCGGCTGTGGCTCGACCTTGGCGGTAATTGTGTCGAATGGAGCGAGCCGAGTCGCCGACTGGGAGGCAGCGCCCAGCCGCGCGACGGCTCCATGGGCTGCCCAGCCCACCGCACGCGTAATAGTCCGGTTATGATGTAGACGGGATTGGATACGATATGCCGCTGATTCGATACTGGTGTTCGGTGTTTAAAAAAACGGCGTAGGTCAAGGTTTGCTGGCATTTCTCGGAACGTTTGGATGGTTTTACTAAACACTGAACAGCAGTGACCCAAATGGCGTAGGCAGAGGGTATGGCAACAGAGTTTGGAATATGGCAGCACCCGTAAGTCGACTCGTGAGAATGACGTCATGCGGCGTTTGTGCACGTCATGCGTCGTTCACGCACCGTTGAACAGGTGCATGACCGGGCTGGCAGACCACCGAAGTAAAATTTAAGTCTACAGCACCGGAGAAACAGGTTGGGAACCGTGAGGCATGGGACTAAATCGAGACATCTGGCGGAGGTTAAACACCGACCGGTGCTTGACCCGAACAAACCGGATTCCGTAATGCAGGATCTGTCGGCGGCCATGTGAGGATGATCAGTCATCGGCCACCGGTCTCAGCTGAGCCATCATCAGCCGTCATCAACCGTCATCAACCGTCATCGCCCCCTGGCTCCATCAGCCGCTGCGGCGTCGACTCTGAGACCGGTTAAATGGGGTCAGCCTGGCCTTGGCACAGCAGTGGCTCTGACACGCGCCCCGGATTACGAGCGCGACCCCCGCCCGTACCCCGCTCGGGGCCGTGTGTGCGCGGCCCGCCCCGCTCCCGGGACGCGGGGTAGGCGAGCGGCCGCCGCCTATGCCGCGCACGTGCGCTTCGATGAGCGAAGACGAAGTGTCTGCTTACACACGGACCGGCACGTGCTCGGCTGCTGCGAAACGAATTTCACCCCGCTTGAACACCTGTGATGAAATGATATTTCACCAATCGTTTGCATGGCACATTGTGAAACTTCTCTGGGTTTCGTTACGGTGTGGCAATTTCGTCGCCGGGGCGGCCGGCCGGCCGGCAGGGCTGACCCCTGTCGCCCTACCGGTGACCGGTGAAGGATCGGGTGCTGTCGGGGGACGCGTCGTGCGGCGCTCCGTCTGCCGCCCTGCGCCCCGCGCAACGGCATCGGTCGTTGTGCAACGCGATGGCCAATGCAGAGAGGCGAGTGTGCCCCGCCCCGCGCGCCGGGCCGCCGGCGCTCCGGACGCGCACAGGGCCGGGTTTTTGCGCGTGCCTGCCCTGGATGCGGCGGTGCGCGGGTGGTGCAATCGGCTGGTAAACAGCGCCACGCGCAATGCCGGCCGCGCCGCGAGGAGACGCGCTGACGCAACGGAGGCAGGGGCCGGCGCCTGCCGCGCGGGTCGCCGCCGCCGCCATGGGTGCCGGCTGCTGGCGTCCGGCGCTGCGCCGCCGCGTCCGGTGACGAGCGGCCAGGGTTCGCTGCTCGGACGGCCACCGACCCGCGATTTCTCCTCGCGCCCGGACGAACGTCTCCCGCCGGGAAGTCTGCCGTCAGTTCGTCGGCCCTGTCGAAAGTCGGCGGTGGCGCGGTTTGGAAACGCTGCGCGCGCCGGTGTGAGGGGCCGCCGGTGACTGCCCTCGGCGGCTGTATGACCGTCTGTCCGACCGTCCATCCGGTGGAAATCGACGGTGCGCTCTGATGAAATCTTCCGGGATGTGCCGTCGGCGCGCCGCGTGGCCCCACAGCTGACAGACGACCACCTCAGCGGCCTAGATCACTGCATGTTTGTCTGTGTGGTGGTTCCTATGTGTGTCTGGTTGTTTGTTTGTCCTCTCAGATCTCACGGTCACCCGGTCCGTGTTGTCTCGGTTGTTTTCCTCTGGAATGCACCGGGTCATCCGTCGTGACATCACCGGCAGTGGCGCTGGCTCGAGGAGCTCCCACCGCCCGGACCGGTGCCATGTCGCCGTGTTGACCCGACCCGCCGACACCGGCGAGACGCTGACCCGGGCGTGCCAAACCGGCCGGGTCAGGCCAGTCAGGAAGCCTGGCGGGACGGGCGAGGATTAGTGGTGAATCCGGAATGCCAGAAGCGGCTTTGGGGTGTGGCTGCGGATGAGTCGGGTGTGTTTTCACCGGTGGAAGACCGAGTCATGACCCACGCGGTTGTGACGAACGAAAGTTGAATTCGTGGAAGACCGGTGAAGTTTGCATCTCCTTCAAACGATTGCTGCGCTGGCTATTTCATGAGATTGTTACACAGACAGGAAAAGCCATAGGGCTTGTTCGAATGATTGCGTACGCTGTTGCGTCAGACTTGTTTCGGAGAGTGGATTCTGGATGGTTAGAAAATACTGAGCCATACCCAAGTATTATTCAACACTGGTGAAATATTGTCACAAGAGCCAGTTCATATGTCACACTATGAGTCTGCGATAAACTGATGACCTACATTGATAGTGGTCTATATGGAGTTGGTCCCATTTCGGGTTTACCTTCCTAATTTGTTCTTTCATTCGTATCTTAACAAACCTACCCGTGACGAACTGGTTAGTGACCTGTTACTCCTGCTGTGGACGATCCGAAAGATTAATCAGTCCAAAGTTTTGCAACTTTCCAGCCACCTTTCAGTCGCAGTATGCGGCAGTCACGCTAAAACAGCCAATGTTTTGTAATGTAAGCGATTGGCCAGGGTCACACCCGACCGCGGTGCAAAAGTCGTTCGATTTCCCTGTGCTGCAGTGGAGTTGCGTGTCGGCGCCCGACCCTTTTAGGTCGCTAACTGGTCACCACCAGGTGCAGGTATTACACAAGTCGCGCTGCAAATGCTCCGTCCTCCGGACAATATTGCGAAAAGGGGTTCGCAGGGCTTTGTCATCGTTGTGTACGTCGCTAGCTGGAGTTCAGATAGCTCTGATAATTTGCAACAATGACGTCGTAGCCTGACCGGCATGCCGCAAGAATATTTAGGAGAATCTTGTTGCCGCGGAGTGGGGATAATCGTTCGCTCGTAGCCTGTTCCAGGTCGGGTTGCGTACGTGGACGAATATACGTCGTGTGATAAAAGGCTGACTTGTGCAGCCGTTGGAGTCGGTATTAATTTGATTTATGCATGCTGGTTACTCAATGTCTTGAAGAAATGTAGACCGTGACGAAGTATTTTGCCTCGAAACAAACAAGAAGGTTGAGCAAAATGTCGTGCTATCTACAAGTTTGCATGGTGGTTGCGGGGAAAATATCGATGTCGTCACACAAATTGTTTGGTTTTGGGCGCGTCTTTTGCGCAATACTTTCGTCCAGTCAAAAGGTAACCGCTTTTCAGTGGTGTTGTATTCTGCCGCGTAAAGACGTTGCGTATATAAGTCTGTGAGTGTGAGCAAATGAGTCTGCGGCCTCATCTCGCACGGGGTCGTCTCCTTCCCTGATAGTTTGTCTTCTGGCGCCCACTTCTGCGGGCCGGCTGCACATCCTGTCGTGACCAGCTCCTCGTGGCCGGGCTGGTCCGTGGAACGGCCGCTGTCAGACGAACTCGCTGGCCCACAGCAACCTGCCGGCAGCGGAGCCCACTTCCTCTGACCGCCCTCTGAGCCGCCATGACTGCAGACTTCCCGGATACCTGGGACGGGGTGGGGTCGGCCGGGCCGCACCCAGTCGCCCGCTGACTTGACACCTTCGTCGGCCTCTCATCCACCTCCCGCGGCAGTTCAGGGCGCGGTCAGACGGCAACTGCTCACAAAGTCAGCGGGTCTTTCCGTGTGCTTCCCCGGGGTCGTCCGCAGCTGGCCGCTGGAGTCGTGGGCGGACCACGTGTGTGCTCGGCCCCAGCGGAGGTCTGCGGGTCTGTGCGGGGGTGTAGGGGACGGGGCGGAGTTCGCCACACCTGAGCGCACCGGCGCGTCGTCGGTCGGTGGCCGGCCGGCCCGCTGTCTGACGGACGGCTCGTGTCACTTCCTTGGAGAGTTGCATCACCCCCGCGGCCGACAACCGCGCGGCCGCGGAGCCGTAGCTCGCACAGCCGAGGATCCGGGAGAGACGGACAAAGGCAGCTCGTCGCTGGTCGCGGCTCTCCCGTGGGGACGGACCGAGCCAAACCGCCGAGGTAGATAGACCCATACCGCCGACACGGTTCGAGCCGGGTCAAGCCGGTGTGCTCCGGCCGGCCGGCGGTACGGGCTGCGGGTGTGGCCGGCACGGCACGGGCGCGGACGCGGCGCCGGCACCCGGGCCGGGCCCGGATGACGGCCAGTCACGGCCACACCGTGTGCCGACCGGCCGCCATGGCCGCTGACGTCAGCTCGCCTCATGCGGCAGCGGCGGTCACAGCGCCGCGGAAACGGGAGGCGGCGGAGGCAGGATGGGAGCGGGTGGAATGCAGGGGCGGTGGTTGAGTTGTACCGAATGTATTCATGTGTGTGGTGTTGATGTCTGCGTGAAGTATGATGAAGGAAGCACGCATTGAAACCTGCATGCATCTTCACATGAGTGATTTGCTCCTATTTACATCAGTTTACCTGTCCCTTGTTGACATTGCGTTTTATATCACATCAGTTCACCAGTTGCATGAAGAGTAGGATCATGTGGCGCTAGATTTTTCGCGACAATTGTCACACCCATGTACCCAATGACCTTTGCCATGAGCAATATTTACCGAGCATTACACCATCCGGGGGGCCCGCTAGGGGTCGGTACCACAAATAGGACCTTCTGCGCCGCCGTCCTCTAACCTCGTCGTCATGTTTACTTCACAGGCAAGCCGTCGGACATGTGGGCGCTGGGCGTCGTGCTCTACACGATGCTGTACGGCCAGTTCCCGTTCTACAACGCTGCGCCACAGGAGCTGTTCCGCAAAATCAAGGCGGCCGACTACGTCATTCCTGAGTGAGTGCGGTGGATATTGTGGCGCCGTGATAACGCCCGGGTGCGCCGTAGCCATTGGGGATGATTGGTCGGGAACTGCGAGACAGGGGGTCAGGGGGTACATTTGGGGCACACAGGACGTGTGGCGTAGTTGGCCGGACGTGGTCCCCAGACGATACGGAAGGGAGAGGCGCCACGCCACAGACGCGCGGCCGTCGCACTCCTTTCGCCAGTTTCTCCGCACATTGCGCCGGCCACATTCCACGGCTTTCATTTCACAGCAGTGCATCCCACAGCCCGTCACGTGCCCATATGGTCGAGAGCGCAGCCGATAGCTCAGCCGGCCGCGTCGGTCGGGTGTTATTGATCGAACACTCTCGTGCCACGGATATTAGTTTGACATCGATTTGTGGCGACGTTATCAGGAATCTGCTGACGCCGGCGACTGCCACAGCCGGGGTTACATCAGCCTGATTCGTACCCCATCGGTGCCCCGTTTGAGGGGTCACCGTGCCATTTCTCTCGCGTCCGGTGGCTGCGCGCAGGGTACTTTTTCGGCAGTTGAATCATGGGTGACCGGCGCGCCGCCCCTGTCCGGGACGGGTTTTTAGCCGGTGTGATTCAGGTCAGACGAGTGACGTGTCCGACTGTAGCGCTGACGCGTCGGATGAAACAGCTGTGCTGAGAATTTCGGGTCCGGCTGGCCCGGCGAGCTCGTCTGACGCACCGTATTCGGGCGGAGAGGGCGGCCCGGAGAGGCGGCTGAATTGGGCCCGGCGGCTGCTGCAGCCGCCCGCCCGGCGCTATGAGTCCCCTGGCTACACCCGGCCTGGCCAGCCGGTGAGCTGGCACCGCCCGGCCGCCGCGGTGAGCCGCTCCGCTGGCGTGTGGGCTTTATCGAGCCGCGGGCCGGCTGCGATGGCCGCTGCCAGCTCCCAGCTCCCTGTGGCCCGTCTCGCCCGCCGCGGGGTGGCCGAGCTGCCCGGAAATGAGGGTCGTTCTCTCGCAGACACCCCGCCGCGATCGATGGAAGATGTGGGCGGCCCCAAGGCGACGACTGGAGAACCGCTTCAGGCGGCAGTATTGTCGAAAAGGCCTGAGGCGGTGGGCGAGATCGGCCCTCAGCCATATGGTTGGCAAAACATTGCATGGCTGGGAACAAGGCAAGCATCTGGCTTTGTTTGGTTTTTGAAAAGGGTCGCTGGCGGTCTGTTCAATGTGGTTTTATGTGAATACATTTACACATTGCATATTCACTGTTCACATATGAGCTGGAGTGTTAGGAGCGGATATTGCATCCTCCGGGCTAAAATAACCTTTCGTGGAAAGGACGGTGTCCTTCGCACAAAAGTTCACACCGTTCGATAGCTGGTGGTATCTTTGGATACCAGCTGACGTTTCAGAGCAGACCGGATATTACTGGATCTGACGGGTGGGATTTCGTCTAGTATCTACTGTCAGCAATGTGGGACATCTGCCAATGCCGCGAGGTCAATTCCTCGTCTGCCTTCCCATAGGTAGCGGCCGTATGGCGGGCTTTGAGCAGCCGAATCCCGCCGCCGCGCCGGCTCTCGCCAGCCTGACAGCTGAGTGGGAGAGAGTGGGAGGCCAGAGAGAGGGCCGGGAGACGGCGGCCATGGTCGTCTTCCGGCGCTGTCGGTCGCTGCACCCCGCTCCGCGCGGGTCGCGGGTCCGCGACAAACGCGGCGCGCCAGAGACGAGCAATGGCGCTGCGGCGGCGTTTATTTGTGAGAGATCGATGGTGGAGCTGTGTTGACGGCTGCAGAGAGTTGTGGGTGACATCAGCCGGTGGTTAGAGTGGTTCGGCGCCCCTATCTGCGCCGAGCGGTACCCTCCCGGGGGTACCCTCGCTTTGCGGTGACCGGACGGGTCTGTGGTAGTTCAAATGGCGCAGTAGTCCCCTGAGAGGTGCGCTGTTGTGTGGACCTTGCAGCAACACCGGACTTTATCTTCAAGGGTACCCCGAGCGGCTCCCATACGGAGCCCCTGAACTGCCTCTCCTTGTTGGGTCAAACAGCTGACCGGGCGGTGTCTGGCGCGCCACACCCTGCCCCCCCCCCCCCGGTCCACCAGACCCCGCCGCCGTGGGCGACCCGTCGACAGCGGCCGGGCGGGGCGCGGCCGGGCGACCCGCGCCCTATTCGCCTGAATGGGTTCGACCCGCACCGGGCACAAGGTCATGCGGCACCCTCCACATATGGGCTTGTCGGTGCGGTCACGTCTGTGAGCGGCTCGGCTGGGTCGACCGCCGGAGCACGGGGGAGGGAACGGGCCGTGACCTTGGCAGCCGCCGGGCCCGTCACACTCACACACACAAACACCAGGAGCACGGAATCGCCGACACGCACACTGACGTGTTTGTGTCGTCAGTCGGCCGAACGCCCGGGGCGGCGTGCCCTGCGGAGAGACACTAAAAGGGTTGGTGACACACCTGACACAGGGACACCTGTCAGATGACACGATGGACATTACGGTCCCGGCCGAGATTGCGTAATGTGAGCTCGGGCCGCGCAGGCCAGCGCTAGCCCCGGGCGTGGGATCGGACATGTGTTGCATGGGATGTGCTACTGATGAAACTGATGAAACCGATGACTTACTAGGCCTCAGGCTGGGTGTTACATGTTCCCCTGCTACTGCTAGGAATGAATATAAAGTGTAAATGGTAAATGGATGGTAAACGTTTGCACTGTTCAAGGCCAACATTTCACGTTAGAAGCCTATGTTCGCTGTCAAACCCGACATTCATTGTCACCGTTTATCCACCACATGTTGAGTACAGTTGCTGGTTGTCACTATTGAATAGGCTGTGGTGGAACACCTTTGCAGTGTCCATATTTGCGTTAGGGCGCTTCAATGGCGCCGAGTGTCTGCCGTCCCGCTGTGCCCGCTCACCGATGGCTGACCTCGTCCCACTCTGGCGTGTTGCAGCGACGGCCGGGTCTCTGAGCCAACCACCATGCTGATCCGGCGGCTGCTGCTGCTCGACCCGCGCCAGCGCATCACTGCGGACCAGGTGACGGAGCACTACTTCGGCCGGCACACCAACCTGCTGCGCATGATGCACAGCATGTACCCTGCGCCGCGCGAGCTGGCCTCGGACGACCAGGTGGTGCCGCAGCTGGCCAGCCCGCCGGCCGCCGAGCAGCGCCGACCGCCCACGCCCGTCGCCGCCGCCGCCTCCAGCCTGGAGACCAACGTCAACCAGCTGCAGCTGATGGAGAGCAAGCTGTTCACGGTGGGCGCCGAGCGTCCGCCCACGCCCACCGAGCCGGCGCCGGCCAACCCGCTGATGGCCCTCTCCCGCCACGACGTCATCGAGCACATCGACCGGGTGCTGCAGCGGCGTGCGCCCTGAGGGCGGCCGCGGCGCTCCGGGCGCCACCAGTGACCTCCACCCCCCGCGGGCATTACCGTTCCCCGTCCTGACCCGGCCCGGCGTGGCACGCAGCCGCGCCGGGCCAGAGCGACTGATGTGTGAAAGATAGAAAGAAATGAGAGTGAGAGTTACTGTGCGAGTCGGAGAGTAAATGTGCGAGTGAGGACGGCGCTGAGCTGAATGGGTGGCTCTGCGAGTACGAAACGGCACGGCGCGTACATTCTCAGTGTTCCTGAATACTTCTCCCGGTTTGTGGATGCGCCTAGACTCGGTAGAACCGTAACGTGTGTGTATGTATGTGTGTCTGCGTGTTAGGGTCGTGTTTCTGCGTTTCTATGTGCGCCGAACCGCTGCGAATGGCAGTTCGAATGCGTGTGACTCCGGTTATAGTAGATCCGCCGTTAAGGAATGGTGCGAGGCCTGTCGCGGACATTGCAGTTGTCCGCTTTGGGCTGAGCGCTTCTCCGCCTGGCACGACCGATTCACTTCGTACATCGTCCGCCTAGAAGGCCGTGCAAGCTAGCAAATAGCCTGTAAGCCCAACCTGCGCTGGTGCCGCGTCCGTATCTTTAAGTACCTACTGTATTCGGTGATTTTGTGTGATCAAAGCGTTTTCTTCGTCGCGTTCTCAGTCCGCGTTTAGTTGCGAGTGAACTTCGTATGCCCCGTATTGCCGGTCAAAACGTGGTATAGAAGTTGGATTATCTTGGCGCGTACCGATTCCTCATTTAGCCCAGCGCCAGTCCCGAACGTCCGTTCAGTGCAGAGGTGGGGGCCGGCGGGGAGGGCCGGGTCCGTGCCGGGGCCTCTCACCCGGCGTCGGCACCCTCAGAGGACTCGGGCCCGCCCGGCCGGCCGCCCACCGAGTGCCTGTGTATGTCGTGCCGGTGTGAAATGGTCTCATCGTTCATCTCGGCAGCTGCCACCCGCACCATACCGTGTCCACCGTCACTGTGATAGACTTCGCATCGGGGGCGGCGGCGGCGGCGCGCGTCACCACACCTCCGCCGTCGCCGCACCGCCCCACCGCGCGATGCGACGACCATGAAGCTATCCGGCATTAGTTCCAGCTCGGCCGAGCCGGCCCAGCTGTCACGTGACCGCTCGGCCGGGCCGGCCCAGTTGTCACGTGACCGATCCCGTTGAGAGATCGGACCGATAAGTTATGATATATGTTGGCAATATCGAAAATACATCATCTATGAAAGCTGTGGCGTGTGAGAGACTGGGGCAATAGCAATGCAGAATGCAGGGTGTGGCGTTGATGAAATGCTCTTGTTGGATTACAGGTAACAGAGTGTGAAATGCGGCGATTCAAAGAGGCGTTTGCTGTATGCACTGAGGTAATCATGGTATGCACTGCTCTTGGATCATGTCGCACTCAACAATCTGTCTTCATATTTCCCAGACCAAGACATCGATTAATTCTCAGATTCTGACACGGCCAATGCCGAGGTCACGACGTGTTGATGCCACAAACGGCGTAGCGCACCGGCTTGGCGACAACCCATGAGCCAGTACGTTTCCCCCTGGACTCGGGCTCCAGCTCGCAAGGGTGGCGACCTACGCGAGGTCAGAGTCCTCGCTCATCTTCTTCATGTTAAGGCTAAGTTGATTAAGGTACACTCGGGGGCAGATTGATGTTCCACCACTCCCTACCCATCGGGCTCCCATGGCTCAGCACTGGCTGCTGCCAGTGCTGCCTGCCCTCAGCATTGGTCAGCACTGCCTGCCAGTGCCAGTCAGCTGCCAGTGCTGCCACTGGCAGTAGCCAGTGCTGAGCCATGGGAGCCCGATGGGTAGGGAGTGGTGGAACATCAATCTGCCCCCGAGTGTACGAGATAACTGGATGAAACTGGATAACTGGATGAAATGTAATTCCTAGTTGCCTCGGGCGTGTCAAAGCAAAATTAAAGCAGTGTTCACATCTCTCTTTGGAAGCCATATGGCACGTGACAGTCGTACGTCACAGCCGGCTCTCGGTGCGACCGAACCTGACATTTCGGTTTATTCTCGGACACCGTACGGTGTGTCTAAAAAGTATGTCCCCTGGTTGGGCTCTCCCACCGTAGGCGAATCGGTAACTTGGCGGAATCCGCCACCGAGGTAGGGAGGGTCAGAGAGGGGGAGGGAGGGGAAGGAGGGGCAACCGCTCGGCACCAGGCGATGCCTGGCTGACCCGGCGCTCCCTCCCTGACCTCCGTCCTGCCCTCAGGCGAGGACCGATTTCCTCGGCCCGTAGCGGCCGAGCAGTGAAGCCGAGCTCGCGGGGCGCGACTACACTGGCCCAATCTTATAAAGGGAGTGCTATTCTTTTCACGGCATTAGGTAATCTTTACAGTGATAACCAGCACTCAGCAGTGGATGTGTAAACATACAGTCCAAAACAAACGGAAGCATCAAGCACACAATTGCTTCATAATATGCTCTCCTATTCGAATAGTTACCGACTTCTATGGAGGGTGTGATTTCTTAGGGCGTAAAATTCGCGCTGCTGCAAACGAAGACACTACCGAACTTTATGAAATCGGGCGCTGGGATTCCGTCAATATATGATGGACTTCAATGCGTGAAAACAATTTTGCACTTAGCCGTAATAATACCCGTAAGTGACATCACATCCATTCCCCGGTGTTTATAAGATTGGTCCCAGCAACCCACGAGGAAGTATGTTTATCGAGCGCATTATCCTCGAGAGAGAGAGAGAGAGAGAGAGAGAGAGAGAGAGAGAGAGAGAGAGAGAGAGAGAGAGAGAGAGAGAGAGAGAGAGAGAGAGAGAGAGAGAGAGAGAGAGAGAGAGAGAGAGAGAGAGAGAGAGAGAGAGAGAGAGAGAGAGAGAGAGAGAGAGAGAGAGAGAGAGAGAGAGAGAGAGAGAGAGAGAGAGAGAGAGAGAGAGAGAGAGAGAGAGAGAGAGAGAGAGAGAGAGAGAGAGAGAGAGAGAGAGAGAGAGAGAGAGAGAGAGAGAGAGAGAGAGAGAGAGAGAGAGAGAGAGAGAGAGAGAGAGAGAGAGAGAGAGAGAGAGAGAGAGAGAGAGAGAGAGAGAGAGAGAGAGAGAGAGAGAGAGAGAGAGAGAGAGAGAGAGAGAGAGAGAGAGAGAGGAGAGAGAGAGAGAGAGAGAGAGAGAGAGAGAGAGAGAGAGAGAGAGAGAGAGAGAGAGAGAGAGAGAGAGAGAGAGAGAGAGAGAGAGAGAGAGAGAGAGAGAGAGAGAGAGAGAGAGAGAGAGAGAGAGAGAGAGAGAGAGAGAGAGAGAGAGAGAGAGAGAGAGAGAGAGAGAGAGAGAGAGAGAGAGAGAGAGAGAGAGAGAGAGAGAGAGAGAGAGAGAGAGAGAGAGAGAGAGAGAGAGAGAGAGAGAGAGAGAGAGAGAGAGAGAGAGAGAGAGAGAGAGAGAGAGAGAGAGAGAGAGAGAGAGAGAGAGAGAGAGAGAGAGAGAGAGAGAGAGAGAGAGAGAGAGAGAGAGAGAGAGAGAGAGAGAGAGAGAGAGAGAGAGAGAGAGAGAGAGAGAGAGAGAGAGAGAGAGAGAGAGAGAGAGAGAGAGAGAGAGAGAGAGAGAGAGAGAGAGACTGGCATATCTGTCCTTTGATTCAAGCTAGATTTTGTGACACTAAACGCATTTTCAGGTCCTTGTCAATGACCTATGACGTCATTGGTGAACCTGTGTGCATGGTCAAAAATGACGAGTGTATTTTTCTGTCACAAATTTCCAGGAGTGTTTTTGCAGCGATAGTAGCTCGGCATCGTTAACTTCGATCCGGATATTGTTGCTCAATGGTAGCCTCTGCGAACTTAGAAAAGCTGTTTATGGCCATGAACGCCTGCATTGGCACACTATTACCACGATGTGGTTAACCAGATGTTTTTCTTCAACGCTCCCTTTTGGCTCATGACACGTCGCTAAACGTGGCACCCGTAGCAAACGTGTCAAACGTGGCAAAACTTCACAGTCCTTACGAACCCTCATCAGCACTCGTTGGCTTGGTGTGTGGCCCCTGCCCTTTGGCCGAGACAGCCACCAGCCTATACCGCGCGCCGCGAGGCGCACCCCTCCTTAGCGGGCGGGGGAGCGCACCATGCGCTCCCCGCCCACACCCCTCCCTCCTTCCCGAGGTCGTGTCACGAAGGTTCGGGATTACGCTACTATCAGCCACTGCGTAGCTGTCGCCCAGCGCATGGGAATGCGTGGTTTGGTCCGGATTCAGCCAACTACCGGCTCGCGACACCAGCGCCGCGTGGTGGCGAGGGGACATTCTTTTTAGACATACTATACACCCACACGACTATGCCGTCATGACTGACGTGGCTGCCACGTAACGGCCCTTTACGTAACTGCGCTGACATCTAACGCTGGTGTACGGGACAAAATTAAACATTCCTAGGCCCTAGCTTCATTCATTGTGATCCCCAAGGACTCCGGTAGCCACCGTGGCGTCATATTGAACGTCAAACTCAAAACTGGAACAAACAAGTTCTCATTACCAAGAACATGGCATTCTGTCAGTACCCGCTGCCCGAATTTCGGTCGGTACTGGGTTCCGTTCACCAGAAGGTGGTTGACTCATGGTCACTCATCAGCTGTAACCACTGCCAGCGCCGCCGTCAGCGTTCTGTCTCCTGTGTGCCATTATCGAGCGTCTGCGGAACCACCAGCGGCGGGGGGGGGGGGGGGGGCAGCTGCGTCCGGCGGCCGACCCACACGCGCCGGTTCTGTCTGGTTCCTCTACCACTCCGCTCTGGTTTCATTCCGGAGGGCAGCTGACACACCGCTGATCAAAAGGTAGAGCTGCTGCACTGACGTTAGTGATCGGTGTCAGTGCCAGTGATGGCCAAAACATAGTGCAATAAGTAGGTTCGTGCGACGATCCAACTTAGTCTGATTCACGGTTGGGTCGTTGCCCACTCTGACGCACTTCTGTCCCGAGTGGTTCAGTTCTGAAAAATCTAGTCAGAGCCTGAGTGTGAAACGTCTCCTGAAAGACCACACGTGCTGGAAAATTCGGTGGACAGTAATGGTCGTAGTTTGAAACATCATTGGTTACCACATCCGTGTCAAGCAGATGTATTCCGATCATTGATCAGTGTGTAATCGCTATACAGCCGTGAAGCAACAGCGGATCACCACGGGACAGAGCTAACCACGTGCTGGGGTCACGGGACATCTGCCGCCCACCGTCTCCGACCGCTGAGCCAGCTGTCTGGAAGTCGTTAGTGCTGTCTGAAGGTCGGCAAGGCTGTCTGACAGTCGTAAGCCGGTGCACAGTCGGTGAGCCGGTGGCAAGCACGAACTGACGCTATCCGGACTTCGCCGGCGACCAGGACACTTAGGATCCATCCGTGTCAGCGTCCCGGCTGCGTATTATATGGAAGGTCGAACGCATGTAAATCGGAAAATGGTGAAATCGAAGATTTCGTGTCGCATGTCTCCACGGTAGAGCGGGATAGTAATAGGAAGATAGGGGAAACAGGTTCAAGGCAATGATGATTACCGCTAGGCGGTAAACTACGACACATAACCGAAAACCGACATGCAGAAACCGTTTTCCGATTAACATAACGCCCGTGGGAAAATATTATTAACCCTCGCCCGCACATGCCATTTTCCCATCCTATAACGCACATGGGGGGTGGGGGGGGGGGGGGTTGCCACCCCCGCGCCATTTCGTTCCTGTTGGAGATAAAGCTTCGCGGTAAGGACCAAAAAGATTATTTGGGAAGAGACGAATCCAATGATACCCAGTTTTACCTTCTCAGGTCAGTCATTGACCTTCCAGGTCAGGTCAAACTAAAAAATGTTGCTGTTTTGGGTCACCGTTGGATATCAAGTGCGCTGCTTAGCATACACCGATGACGATGCCGTTTTCTGGTGCCAAGCCAGCTAGAAGCTCTTTGACACACTACCCGACCAGGTTTTTGCTGCTGAGGTCATTTCAGGTCAAGTTAGGTCAAGGTCAATTATATGTGTTTGTATGTCTGTGTGCCCTAGTAGCACACAACATTGATACAACATCGAGATATGTTGAAATCAGGTTGATTGTCAATATTGGTGCTTCAACACGAATTCAACATTGATTCAACGTTGATATCACGTTGATATTAGGTTGTGCTTTGTCGAATCTTAGTTGAGGATCAACATTGTAGTTCAACATCGATACAACATTGTCCCAATGTTGAGTCCACAATATCGACAGAGGTAGAATTTCAACATTGTGATTCAACATTGATACAATATTGTCACGATGTTGATTTCACAATATTGATAAAAGTAGAGTTCCAACATTGTGATTTAATTACTATATTGCCCCGCAGTTGTGTTCACACTTGACAGGGCAAATGCCCCCTCGGGTGTAAGGATGGGCTCGACAGGTTCAGGTCCTATAAGGCGTCAATCAGACTTTAAGCATTATTGTATAGGTAGGCATTATTTTACTCGGGTGCCACCGGTGCCATTCAAGTATCACGGTATTTAGTGCCTTGGTCCCACCAGTCGTGCGCTGTGCTCTTTCAGAGACCGTACCGAGTGGAATTTAGCGACCGCTGACCGTTTTGAAGACTGTACGCGGCCGGCAGCGGGCGGTCCCATCCTCGCCTCCGGCTAGAGAGGGGGAGACCGCGACAGGGGACCGCGCGTCCCCGTCCCGTTGTGCCGGCTCGCAGAGTGCGGACGGGTGTGTTGAGTGCGTTGTGTCCAGTGTCGTCTGGCGTCTCCTCTTCCGACTATGTAGGACGTAGGTTTCCGCCAGTTTCTGCTGTGTGACAATCAGTGCATTTATCCCAGTTGTTGCAGTGCTAAGTTAAAAAAAAAACTGGCGCTGAAACGTTCTCTTCAAAATGGTGGCGATCACCGTCGTCGCTCACTTGCCTGCGGCAAACGGAAAAGTGCTGTCGGTGGCGTCATGTAGTGCCATGCCTTGAAACGGGGCCCGGTAAGTATAAAAGAATAGATGCAGGGTCGTAGGACGTATAGATACCTACATGCGTGATGTTCAATGCACTTACGTAAGTATCTATTATCTGAGCTGAAAATGACAGAACTGAATTTTCTCAAAGGCCCAATGTATTACCTACCGCTGTTACATAGGAATCTCCGCTTTGTTACAGGAGTGCGAGGCTCGACGGGCGACTCAACAGTCAACCCCCACGGCCCTGACTCAACCGCTCAAGATGTGAAGATGGCGGAGACTGAGCGGCGACCGAGGTTGTGTGACGTGATGTGTGAAGTGTAGCTGACTCGAAAAAAGTGAAGAGCTGTGCATATATCATAGAAATACATTTTCCCCGAATATTGACGGTGACGGTGACGCTGGAATATTTTAGGTAATTACGGGATAAAAGATTTCGTACACGTATAGGTCTGTCGACAACAACATCGAGACAATGTTGTATAAACATCTAGACAATGTTGAATCAACATCGAGACAATGCTGAATCAACCAAGGATCAACATCGAGACAATGTTGAATCAACCAAAAATCAACATCGAGACAATGTTGTATCAACGTCGTAACAATGATGTGCAATGTTGTGCTGTCAATATTGATACGATGTCGAAGTTCAACATCGTATCAATGTCGAAAGTGGCTAACAGAATTACATCGATACAACATTGTTGTCAATATTGATACAACATCGACACAATGTTGATGTGCTACTAGGGTGTGTCTGTGTGTATACTGATGTGTGCACCGATTGTTTATGTGTCCATATTACATGAAATCATGATCTGAGAAGCTTTTACCAAAAATGCAGTCAAAAAACTTCACGAAAAGTAAATTCAGCTTGCCTAAAACGCAATTATTTTAGATGACCTAGGTTGACCTTGACCTTGACATCTGTACATCGTCGAACAACATGTTCCATGATAGATGGGAGGTGAGACTGGCAAAAAAGGCCGAAATCAAGGTGTCAGAAGCTCACAACGCAAGATGTTGAGAATTGGTCATTTGGGTCATGACATGACCTGAAAAACAAGGTCATATCTCCCAACCAAAAACCACAAAAAAACTTGAAATGTTCAGTGGACATCGAGAAAGGATAGAGGAGCAGCTATACCAAAAATCAGGCTTCTAGCTTTAAAAATGTTGAGTGCAGAGCAGAAAAACTACCGGGGGGGATGGGTGGCAACCACCCCTCCCCCCCCCCCATGTGCGGGCGAGGGTTAAAAGGGATCGTCATTCATATGGAAGGGGAGAGGAACTACCTCCAGGCGATGTGCAATACATGTGTAGTATGTATTGCAAAATGGAATGTTGCAATACATTTACATACATTACACATACATGCAAAATGGAATGTTACACACACAGAACGCGATTGACATAGAAACAAAGACGCGAGAGACCGATTTTTCTTTTTTGTTGCAACATTTTAAAAGCATAAAGCGATTCTGAACACAAAAACCTTACAAAGGGAAGGATTCAACATCCATCCCAAAAATGACAGTTGATGCCAGCAGCTAGCGACCAGTCCCGCTGGGTCAGAGGGATTAACCATGCAGGGACAGCAATAGGTCAAGGCCAGATACAAAGCGCTTACATAACATTTCAAAACATCACAACGAATGGACGATACTTAACATACATCGCAACAAATTTGCCGATACGCTCGTAAGTCAGATACAGAATCCTTCCGCACTATAATTTCCTGCTGGGATCAGTAGCCGATCGTTTCCCTACCCACCCCAATGCGTCATTCTCCGGCTCACTTTGTCCAAGGTTTTGCCGGCTGCGTCGCGCTTTTGCGCTTACAATTCAATTCCACGTATTAGTCTCGTGTTCTCGACTGATCTGTCTGATTCTTAGGTAAGGCCCGGGGCAGGTCCGCTCCGTCGCCAGCCTCCTAGGCTAGCCATGGGCAAGATTGCCATGGGCTTGGCCCCACATCCAACAACGCACTTCCCGCTCCAACTGTCGTGTGCGTCGCACCGGTGTGCGCAGTGGGGGAGGGGGAGAGGGGGGGGGGCGGTGCGCGTGTCGTCATTCGGCCGAGAACCGACCGGTGACGTCACGAACGGAGGGATTCGATGGAACTATCGACCACCAGCTCCAAGGCGGACGGGCGTCCCTCCCGGGCGGCACGCGCAAAACGAACAGCCTGACGCAACGTGGCGGAACTTTTGAGGACAGTACAATATGCGTCTCTTGTCCCCTAAATGGCAATGCAAGAGTGCTGCCAACACGGCACATCAGAAAACTGAATACAGAATGCCAGCAGCAAATGGATGCGGCAGGAAAAATCTAGAACGAGCCGCCCGTCGACCGGCTCAGTCGTACATCAGCGACCAATCGCTACCGACTGCGATACGGCTCATGCGAGGGAGCTGTCATCGATCCAACAGCGTCCAACACAACAAGTGTCACACGTTAGCCGCCACTTCTCGGTGTTTACTGGCGGCGCAGGGCTGCAGGGGTGCAGTCAGGCGACTGGCACTGACAGGCGATCGCTCTAAGTGCACGGTTCGTGCGTCACGAGACAAAACGACGCGGCGGTGGCGGCGTCATGACGGCACGGTTGTCTGAGGCGGAGGTGGTCTGTGGAAATCGGGAGCGGTGTGTGGGCAGCATCGGTGGCAAGATGAACAGTTACTGACAGCGTTAGCGTCAGTGAGATATATGACAGAAGCTGAAGCACTGAAATGTTGTTTGTCAAAGAACGTGGGAGAAGGAATAACCAAAACAACAACAACAACAACAACAACATAGCACTGAACGACGTAAAGAGACATAAACAATGCACAACCGCGAACACGAATGCTAAATAAGTCGTTTTTTCTCAATAACTTACACCTGAGCATGGCATCCACTTCGTGTCAACCAACGGTTTTGTGAGTTGGAACATTCAATGGATCGGAGCTACCACCTTCAATGCTTGGCATTTACGAAGCAGTCAACATAGGCGGCGGAACGGGGAGGGCACCGGGGCACCGTGCCCCCCTTTGATTTTGACGTTTTAACATTAGCCCTATGGGCGTTGCATGGAAAGGATGGGACCAAAAGTCGGCAATGCCCCCCCCCCCTTAATTGAAGGTGTTCCACCGCTACTGGCAGTCAATACCGATGACGCAATGCCTGACAGTAAACCGGCCCCCGCCCCGAACTGCTGCCTGCCGAGGTCTCCAGTAGTAACTGTGTGAACATTTCATCAGTAAGCTCTAGGTAATTTGCAGAATGAATCGTTATCATTCGGTCATCGCGTTCAGTGTTCCCGTCCTGTGTAACCCCTCATTGCAGTCGACATCCATAACTTCAATGTGGCTTTGCGACTCAGACCTGTTCGGTGTCGGATATGCATCGATTCCTTCCGGATTCACTTAGTAGGCCTAAGCAATTATTATGCATGAGTTTTTGATTTATTGGTTGTCCTTGGTATCGCTACGCAACTGTAAATCGCCTGCCGGGACTTCAATATGTTAGGACAAGCACACAACAAACGGTAGATTATGATCTTGGTCTTGGTCTATGTATATTCCAGTGCCAGGAAGTGTTATGCCTAATTCATACCCTGGTGTTATGTACCCATGTGTCAGAAAATTGAGTGTAGCTGTGGGCCATGTGAACGTGACTGTTGAAATAACTCCCAAATTGAATAGCCATAACCGGCAACTGATTGCTGGGATCTGGTGTTGAGAAATACAAGCAATAGCTATTGTGAAATATCTGGCAGCTGCTTAAGGAAAAACCAGCAACTTAAAAGCAAGTCTAGAGACAAAATTCCCTCACACTTTTACGCCATTTCAATAACTTAATCCAACTACTTTGTGCAAGACATCCCATCAACTCAAATCCCTGTCAGAGATTTTCTCAAATCAAAACAGCAATCAGTCGGGAGACTCAAATGAGTGCCTATCAAACTCGTGATCATACTGTCCCAACCTGTATATTTCATATCACATGACTATGTACACACGATCTAGCGTCCCGACCTGTGAGTTATCCCTCTACTTGGTGGAGGTCCTGGTGTTCTTGTTCCAGGAGAAGTTGGCGCCGTACGACTTCACCCGGGGCTTGACGGGCGTCTTGATGTCGACCGACCAGTCCCATCCGTTCTTCTCGCAGAACTCGATGGCCTCCTCCTTGGTGCCGAACTCCACCTGCACGTTGGACAGGGGGTCTCCGCTGCGGGAGACGGGGGTGTCAGAGATGCTGGGATTGTAGCAGGGCGTACGGTTTAATGTGTTGATGGATTACATACAACACGGTGCGAGGACGTTAGAAATGTCTGGCTGTAATTTACGCTAGACAGTAGCACAGCACACTTAGTTTGATAACACTGAACCGTAAAGAAGATGCGTTGATATCAATAGCAAGGTCGGGCTCTCACAACAGCAACAACACTTTACATGAAAGGGTATCAAAACATATAATTGGACTGAGCTTCAACCACACACAGCCAGCAAACTATCATCCTTATGATACCAGTATAACGCCTTTTGGGGCGACTAACGGAGCGAGCGAGAGGGTGGGCCTTGCACGTGCGAAATTTCGAGGGGGTACCTCCAACTGACTTGTGCACTGCACCCTACTAACCGGTCTCTAGCGATGTGCCAAATTTGAGCACAATCGGTCCAGCCGTTCTCGAGATCTGGAATCGACCCCTGCACGTGCGCACGTGCAGCAGCACCCCAACTCTGGCACATGGATATGCAGTGCCTAGTGGGTGCCTACCTACTTGCCAACTTTCAGCGCAATCGGCCAAGTAGTTACCGAGATATTGCAACAATTACAAAACTGACACCTCTTCGTTTTGCACGTGGCACGTGCATAAGGGGTCACCCACATGCATCGGGAATAGTCCAATACTTGGTAGAAGGAATGAAGCTACCCTACAAAAATTACCGCATGTAAATCGGTCAAGTGGTTGCTGAGATATAAGGCTCGCAAAAGCGTCCGCACGGCCGGCCGGCCGGCCGCTCATACTCAGAAATTTCCGTTAATCTAAGGAAAGACTCCGCTCGCTTCGCTCGCTCCGTAATGACCAGTATAACGCCTTTTGGGGCGACTAACGGAGCGAGCGAGAGGGTGGGCCTTGCACGTGCGAAATTTCGAGGGGGTACCTCCAACTGACTTGTGCACGGCACCCTACTAACCGGTCTCTAGCGATGTGCCAAATTTGGGCACAATCGGTCCAGCCGTTCTCGAGATCTGGAAGCGGCACCCTGCACGTGCGCACGTGCAAAATGGGTCTCAACTGACTTGTGCACGGCACACTACTAACAGGTCCCTAACTGTGTAGGTACCAAATTTGAGCGCAATCGGTCGAGCCGTTCTCGAGATCTGGAAACGACCCCTGCACGTGCGCACGTGCAGCAGCACCCCAACTCTGGCACATGGATATGCAGTGCCTAGTGGGTGCCTACCTACATGCCAACTTTCAGCGCAATCGGCCAAGTAGTTACCGAGATATTGCAACAATTACAAAACTGACACCTCTTCGTTTTGCACGTGGCACGCGCATAAGGGGTCACCCACATGCATCGGGAATAGTCCAATACTTGGTAGAAGGAATGAAGCTACCCTACAAAAATTACCGCATGTAAATCGGTCAAGTGGTTGCTGAGATATAAGCCTCGCAAAAGCGTCCGCACGGCCGGCCGGCCGGCCGGCCGGCCGGCCGCTCATACTCAGAAATTTCCGTTAATCTAAGGAAAGACTACGCTCGCTTCGCTCGCTCCGTAACCAAACATCGACATAAAAGGCATACACCAATCAATAAATATCCACCACCGTTACATCATTGCACGCCATGCCGATCATATGTCGGTGACCATGACACTCCTGAATGACGATACCATCAAACGGCTATCCTGCACCAAGCCGACGGCACATCGAGATCCTTCTGAAACGTTCCTTATCCTCACTCTCCGCTGGAATAATCGTGCTCGGCGGACCGGCCCCTCTCCCGTAGAGCACATCTTATCTGACACGCATCGTCTATCGGAGTCATGCACCGCTCAACAGGCTATTTACAACCCCAAGGCCAGAAGATCCAGTTGTGAAGCGTTGCTTCAAAGCACACAAAATAATTTTGGTTGAGTTTTATGTCTCTTGTTTCGCGTTTGAGCTGAGGAGACCATTATCAACATTTGCCGCTGGACATAAGCAGAAAATATTGGTGAACGATTATAAATATTGGATGGCTGAAATGCGCATTATTGAGATCTGTGACCATCAACTAATCCATCGGGTTTGAGGGGAGGTGCATTATTGACTAAGGTGTGCAAGAAGTTCATATGATCTACGGAGTTCGCCAACCAACAACAAATAATCCATAGACCGGTTAATGTCACATTCGCTTTCAACATCGCCGCTATTAACGATAGAATCAAAATAATCCTCTCCCTCTTCGGCAAGATGACATTGCAGGATGACTGAGATTGTAAGCATTTAGTTGCTCCAAGTAACAAATTTTAAATTAAACGTTCGATTAATATTACAACCGATGAATCGAGCGAGAGCAAGGTCAGATACACCCAATACCACATGTATGTCGTGCCCATCATTCCATTACCTGCTTACATGCCCAGTGCCCACCATACCTCACCCTCGCATGCATCCTGAATCGCGATCCACCTTTACATCACATTACCCAAATACACGCCCAATAGTAACACCCGGACCCCCCCCCCCCCCCCGCTCCCCAACTCACGTGGACGCCCATCCCATGAGCGGGTTCTCCCAGCGCTCCTGGGTGTCGAACTCGAGTACCCAGTTGTGGTACTTGTGGGTACCCGACTGCATGGCGTTCTTAGCCGGCTGGTACACACGCACCCGCCGGGTCACCAGCTGCCGAAGGGAGGGGTCAACGGGTCACGTGACTTAGTGGGTCATGTATGGAAACTACACAGCTGAGTGTGTGAAGTGGAGGAAGGGGTGGGAGAATTACGCGACATGGCGCGGCAGAGTGGCAAGGTCACGTGACGTGGTAGTGAAACGATGGGAAGGTCACGTGACGCCGTGGTGAGGTCACGTGATAAGGCGGCAGCACGCTGCGCAGATAAGCTGGATAGCGCAGCACGCATTTGGCAGTCAGCACCATATGGAGGACAAGCAGATACCCAGTATGGTGACGTGTCGGTACAGGAAGCGTGTCACGTGACGGATGGTGTCGTCATTGATAGAATCACGTGACTCGGTGACGATATAAGTGCCACGGGCCACGTTTAGGAGCTAAATGTTTCCGCTCACACATTACACAATTCTGAACAGTCCTCAGAAGAACACATCGAACTATGCGTAGAACTGGTTCGAATAGATAAGAGAAAACATAGAAAATAGCAATTTATCAACCGAACGCACACTGCACAACATTATGACACCTAGTATTGGTGGATGGAGGCCTTTTACCTACGATAATAATACGATTATGAACAGAGCTACAGATATAAAAAAATATTTTGGTAGTTTTTCGCCAAATTGGTAGATTTAGAACTTAATCATTGTCTCGTTCTAAAAATAAAATAACACTGACAAGAGGATGCGCAATAAAAATATATTACAACTGCATGTTCATCAGCAATTTGACCCGTTCATGACACTGTTCAGAGTCGACTATTCGGACATTATTCCAGGAAAGGTAACACGGCACATGTTGTGATGGACAGAACTAGTGTCTGCGTCTGCACTCTCCACGGATACGATCCAGAGATGCGGCGGTCGCTGGCGGTTAAAATCGGTTCTTGCCGGGCCGGCGACTGGCAAGCACGCTCCCTAGACGACCGTGCTGATATGTGGCGTGCAGGGATGTGTATGCTTAGTTAATATGCATCCGTTTTTATCAAGTGTAACAGGAATCTTTCAAATGGTTCTGTGTTGCTATTATTTAAATCAAAAGTTGAATATCAAGATTAATGGCCTAAGACTAGACGTTAAACGTTTGACGACAAATCTGGTAACATCAAGAGCAGCTTTCCTTTTCAGACAAGGAATTTGACACCACCTTGTGGCACGGGTACAGTGACATTTCGCAAACGAGTGGAAGGAGCACATTTTCAGAATGACTTTCGTGTAATTTCGGTATCGCTTGTGTATGAAATTCCGTAATCAATGAGGACAAATTGGTAAACCATAAAAAAATCCAAAAGACTAGTGTGGCCTCAGCCAAGTTACACAATAAACCAATACTTTGTGGCATACCTATGTGTATCTCTGATAGGTTAGAATTTGGCCAATATATCAGCGTTTAATTAGTTAGGTACGCCTGGAATGATACATATTGAAGCGTCAAACATACAATGCTATCACCATGTCGTCGGTCACAATCATAAAGGTGTCGAACTGACTTTAATTTTGTCCGTAGAATATTCAAACATATTGAATGATTGTAAAGAGTTCCGTGGCACTGTTCGAATCTTTTTCGGGGGAAATGAGAGGTGTTCAAGGCCAGTAACAGCCGGGTGTAATCGCATGACAACAAAAGCACCATATGATTAACAAATGAATGTTCCAGGATAAGAAAAGCCCCCGCAACGAACTTTTCGTGACTGGTAGGTTCATGGATACGTTTTATTGAGCCTGATACGCGAAATCGCTCCGAACTGTATGCTAGGCTATCCTTTCAGGCCGGGAATCCTTGATACTTGATACTTGATCGAGTTATCCAACATATTCCAGATCCAAGAACGAACATTATTAAATCAACACTGAAGACAAAATCATGAACCCAATTTTGCAGTAGTATCATCCTGGAATATTCTTCTGTTGACGGGATGATGATCGGATCACAGGATCACGGGCCTACGAAAGAAGTACCTACGTGAACGTGATCACTCCAACCCTCCACGCGCACAAACTAAGCATGAATAGCAAATTACACAAATCAGTTTATAAATCTTAATGCCAGAGTCATGAATGCAATCCGATATAAGTCGCATGCTAGAACACAGCAAGAAGCCGAGTTGCAATGAGCAACGCCTGACCTCTACATTTCTTCAAAGGCGACTGTGCTGCCATCAGACGGCAAGAGAAGAGACTATAGACACCCCTGAGTCTCCAGCTTTCACCCAACCATTTCTGAGATTTTGGCCTCGTGAGCCCGTGTTGACAGCTGAATATAACCTTACTTTGCACGTCAACACAGCAATCAAAGAGGGCAAAACTTAAATGAGTACACATTTCTCTAGCAAACTTCCCCTCCTCCTAGTGACAGGCGACAGCAATCAGAAGCCGTGTCGCGGCATCTCTCACGAATTACTCACCCCGCCCCTCTCCACCAGCCCGTGGTCTCACCTCCTCGGCAGGGTGTCCGTTGATGGCGCTCAGGTCCTCCCATCCCTCGACGGTGATGGTGCCCGGCACCTGCGCCGCCGACGGAGCGCTCTTGGCCGGAAGGTCGGACGCCAGCCGGGCAGACGCCACAGACAGCTGGCGACTGGAAACACAGAGTGAACGGCAGGCTGAGGTGCGTTTGTAGTTTGTATTTCAGTGTTTGGCGTGGAGATGTGAAGGCATTTCTGTAGAACACAACTGATTGTTTGTCATTAAGCACATGTTTCGCATTATGACACAAAAGGAAATCACTTGTTATTGTCTTCCAGTACAGATACTCTGAAAGGGTTGGCCCCACCTTCAATTTGAACCAATTTAGGTAAGTGCATCATATGATCTAACTGTTAATATGTCCAGGGTGCATGTGGATTTCAGCCAAAATATTGTATATCCTACAGAGCAGACACCTGCTTGCTACTAACTACCTCAGGCAGATACACAATGGTGAAATAAACAACAGAATTAATCATCTACAATATGATAAGCATTTTGGTTGCCAGCACATTACACAGTTTTCTGTGCATATCTACAAGAAGCACATAAATGCATATAAGTTTCATCAGCAAGTCCACACATCCCCCAGCTGACAGCAGGCAACAAAGTGCAGCATGGAAAGCTAGTCATACATTGTATTCAAATAAGCACAAAAACAAATTCTATTCTATTAACAACGTATCACCCTTTCACCCTTTCAGAAAGTTGTGATTAAAGGACCTAACAACAAAAGCACAATGATTAACCCGGCAGTTGCTGGGGTATTTCGCCACCCACCGTTTGCTGGGGGGGGGGGGGGGGGGGGCGTTAAACGCCCCCAGCCGATAACTCGAGAACCAATAGGCGCAGCGAAACGCACGAGGCGGCAAACGAAAGAACGCAACGAGACGCTTCAGATGAGTACTTTAAAGTTGAATTTTGAGGTCACAGGTCGGGTCAAGGTCAGGTCAAACGCCTGAAATCGGGCTTTCAGTAGCATGGATTTCAGGACTTCGCAATGGGCGCCTCTCGTCATAAACTCTGTCAAAACGGTGCACAATCCATCATATAAGGCCTACAATAGTGTCAGCTCCATGTAGGGGTCAATCAAGCATAGGTCAGGGTCAAGGTCAGGTCAACCGGGTAGGCACACATCCCTGAAAATCAAAACTGATATTCGCTGCCTGTGACACATGTTTTATGGGTAATTTGGGGCGTAGAACACGATGGTGACATTCATTTTATCATATGTGTACGTGTTTGGCTCAAAAACTTTAATTTAAGAAATGCATGTATCATGGTCGTGAAGTAGTCACGAGAAATTGCCAAGATTCAGTTCAAGATTTTGGAAAATGCGGAACGATAATCAATAATCGAAGATACCTATTTGATTGCTCATGGTATTGGCTGTCTAATGGCGTTTACGGCATGTCTCTATGTCTATTCTGTGATTTTATATGATTTTTTGAACATATGCCGTTTTTTGGTCGAAAACTCAGAAATCATGACGTCACTAAAACCTCGATATCTCAAAAATTTTCCGACCGATTTTTTTTTTTTTAAACTTTGTCACAATAAACTTCAATCAATTCGCTACAGGTACCCAAAATTTGGGCGCGCCGTTTTTATGCTATGGCCCGGCGAAAAAGTGGGGGCGTTTAACGCCCCCCCCCCAGCAACTCGCGGGTTAACATAAACCAAATTAACACAAATAAAAAATTAATGCATGAGAGCCTAACTATCTACAACAAGCAGGATCACTGTTTGAAAACAAAATAATGCTAATACCTGCACCAATTACAATTGGTGTGTAGGATCAGGAGGTCATCGCTGGGAAGGCTGTATACAAGCACAGACATGGATAATATCACCTGACTCCCCTGTGTGTAGGCTGCAGTGTGTGTCTTTTTTAGCATGTGTGTTTGTGTGTGTGTGTTTCTATGATGTGAAGGGCTTTTATGGACCAGTATGGTCTGGAATAAAGTTTTGTCTGTCTGTCTGTCTGTCTGTCACTGTACTACATTCAGTAACAGCTTTCAAATAAAACATTTAAAACGCCTTTTGGGCGAAGAACGAGCGAGCGAGATAGTGAGCCCTGCAAGTGCGGAAGGGCGAGAGGGTACTTCCAACAGGCTTGTGCAAAGCACCCTTCTAACCGGTCGCTAGCGGTGTGCCAAATTTGAACGCAATCGGCCCAGCCGTTCCTGAAATCTGGAAGCGGCATTCTGCACGTGCGCACGTGCAAACGGGGTCCAAAATGACTTTTGCACGGCACCCTACTAACCGGTCCCCAACCGTGTACCAAATTTGAGCGCAATCGGCCCAGCCGTTCTCGAGATCTGGAAACGCCCCCTGCACATGCGCACGTGCAGTAGCACCCTAACCGCAACACATGGGAATGCATCGCCTGGTGGGTGCCTACCTGTATGCCAAGTTTCAGCGAAATCGCCCCAGTAATTACCGAGTTACTGAAATGGGAACAAATTTGGCACCTCTTCTTTTTGTATTTTGCACGTGCAGTGGGGGTCACTCACATAGATCAAGAGTATCCGACCTTTAGTAGAAGGGATGCAGCTACCCTATAAAAAATACCGCAAGACAATCGCTCAAGCCGCTGCTGAGATATGGGTCTATCAAAATCATTACTTTTGCAAAACTGCTTGAACACCCTTGACTTTTCACGTAGCACGTGCCACGGCGGTCACTGAGATGTATCAAAAGTAGTCAATTACGGGGTAGAAGGGATGGGGCTACCCAGCAAAAAAGACCGCAGGCCAATCGGTCCAGCGGTTGCTGAGATATAAGCCTCTCAAAAGCGTTACAGGCCGGGCCGGGCCGGGCCGGGACGCTCATACTGAGATTTTTCCGTTATATTGAAAAGACTTCGCTTCGCTCGCTGCGCTCGCTCACTCGTAACAATGCCCCTTAAAGGAAATAGTTCACTTTTAACATGGGGTTTTGAGCTGGAATAGCAGTTTCGTAGCTTGAGCTGAGACTAGCACAAATCAGGAGCTTTTACGGCTCAACGATCACCCTAGACGAAGAAATTCCATTTCTCGTTCCGAAAAGAGTGCCTTGTAGAGGAATGCGTGCCTTGCACAGGAATGCAGCCACGTCATCGTCAGCCAATCAGCGTGCTGCTTACAGCCAATGCAGTATTCGTAGGTTTGAGCTACGCAATATGATTGGTCAATGCGTAATAAGCTTCCGCGTCAAACATTATTTTACATAGAATATAGTTCGCCCTATATTAAAATAAAGAAAATAATTGTTTTTACAAAAAGGTTTTATTTTATTTCATGATTATTTTGAGCATAAAAAATCATAAATCAATAGCAAAATACTGATTTCAGGAAAGTGGACTGTTTCCTTTAAACCCAAGCAAAGATACCAGTTTCAGCAATAATTTCAATATCTCAATAATGTGTTGATAATAATATCTCATAAAATGAGGCATTACCTATCCTTTCGAAACAACACTATCCTTTCGAAGTTATTCTTATAGCGGGCGTCTCACATGCTGCCACCTGTTGGAAAAGTCGCTAGATTCGCCAGTTCTTGAGATATTTCTACCAATGTCGCTCTATATGGTACCTAATCACATAGCAATGACTTCAAAAATGGACTCAGTTTTTTTCTGAGGGAGCGCAAGGGGGTTACGACGTCAACCGATAACTTGTTTTGTTTCCCGGAAACGGGTGATCGGAGCCAAACTTGCAAGGCGGCGTTGTAAAGCGGTTCGAGTAGACAAGCCTAATTATCAATGCAAATTCTCATCGAGATACTACGGGAGGGGGGGGGGGGTGCGGGGGATTGCACCCTGAGTTGACCGATAGCTCGGGAACGGTTGATCGAAGCCAGGCTCGCAAAGCGGCGTTGGAAAGCGTTCGAGTAGACAAGCCTAATTAGTAATGCAAACCAGGGCTGCGGAGTCGGAGTCGGAGTCGGAGCTGGAGTCGGTCGGAGTCAACAGTCCTGCCTGGAGTCGGAGTCGGAGTCGCCAAAATCTTACCGACTCCGACTCCGGAGTCGGAGTTAACGCTGCATGGCTCAACGGCATGCACTGCACCTGTTAGATTGCCGATGCTGCGCTCGAATTTAGGTTTTGTCGAAAAAAGGTCATGTTGCTGTTTTGAACGAACGTTTTCAATGAAAGAAGCAAGACTGTGAATTCCCCAGAATCTGCTTGTTATTTTTATTGCATTTTACGGTCAGGGCGCCATCCCCCCCACGCACCCCCCCCCCAGTATCCAGATGATAGTTTGCATTACTTAGGCTTGTCTGAACGCTTTACAACGCCGCCTTGCAAGCCTCGCTCCGATCACACATTCCCAGGAAACAAAACAAGGGCCCTGTTCGGTCGCTGGTTTTATATCAGCGTGCTGTCGGTTTTCCCATATGAGGAAGTTATTGCTGGCGCAGCTTGGCCTCTCATTGGTCTAACGAATAGACCACTTGAATTCGACCAATGAGGAGCCAAGAAGTAGCAGCATGCTCGCAGCATGCTGATAAATAAACGGGGGGTGAACAGAGCTAAGTTATCTGTCGACATCATAACCCCCTTGCACCCCTCAGAAAAACTGACTCCATTTTTAAATCACCGCAATGTGATTACCCTCTTAAGCAAAATTGGTAGAAATATCTCAGGAACCGACAAAGCTAGCGACTTTTCCCAAACAGGTTGCAGCACGTGACACGCCTGCTATAATACCGGACTTATAAGGTATGGATTGCCAGTGAATTGACATCCACAATAATGATCCAACATATTGCTTATTTCAATTTCAATTAAAAATAAACAGGACCAAAAAAAAGGCCAATCAAATTCATCTACAGCTGACATCCACATCAAGCTACTTTGACTTACTGGGGCGCCTTCTGGGATATCGACCGGATCGTGCGGAACATCAAGCTTGCCATTTCAGAGGGTTGGTGAAGCCTGCAAAGAAGAGCGATATTAGCACTCAAATATTTTATCGAGATTATACCCAAATGCTTCCCTAACCAGTCCCTAACCCTGAACCCGCTATGCTCCCTCCCCTCAAAACAAAATCGGGGTTACATCTAAATCACGGTCATAGAATACTACATCTAAATAGTGTTGACATGTGGCGCCACCCTTCGTCATGGGCAGTAGGTCACATGATCTTAAGATTGCTACTTACGGTGTGGCCCTGGTATATCACGTGACTAGAATCGGCCATAGCGCCCTCAGGTTTCAAAGCTACATCAAACCTCTCAGCCTGACTCGTTTGCGGCGCAGTGCGCGGCCTTAGCAGAAAAGCTGACAAGATGCAACCACTAAAGTGATTACATCTGCTGCGTATGCGAAAAATTGACATTTTGTTGCGGATATTTGCTGTGTTTTTGTGTAGAATACACGGCCTCGGATAATATGGTAACTGTATGGGCAATTGTCGAATCAGTGGCAATTTTCGCCCACCCAGTGGAGTGCTTTTGCCCACCCAGTAAAGGCGGAGATGGAGCAGTTTAACCCGCGCCCGGCTGGGGGTCCTGGATTTCCACGCCCTGCTGGGGGGGGGGGGGGGGGTGTTTGAACACATTCCCCCCTTCTAACTCGGCTCCTGGGCCACGTAGCGATACGTGGAAGGCGGCGTTCGAAAGAACGCCAAAAATAATGACGAAATCACTTCGGTCACTTCTTTGGTCAGGTCAAATGTCAGGTCACCGGAGGTAATTGAAGGCAAAATTTAACCGATTTTCAGGTCGAATGTCGACAATTTCCAAGAAGCCAACGCATAACTCGGGAACCAATAGAGCTACAGCTCCGCAGAAAAGCGCATTCGACAGCCCTATTAACGCCCTTCATGAGTAATTCTCTCAGATTTGACTTATCGTCAACGGTTTTGCCTCCAGGGGGCAAAAACTGCCAAAATAGCCTATTTTTTCGAAAACAGTTATTTTTGCAATAACTTTTGACCCAAGCCTTGCACGAGCTTACTTTTACCGGCATCGTGTTCCTTCCGTCAAGACGCATCGAATGAACTGTAACCTGACCTTGAAAGGTCAACTTGAAAATTTGACCTCAGGTCAAGGTCATGACCTGACGGGAAAGGGTCATGTTGCATATCAGTCGATCCGTATCGTCGAGCTGAACACATCCAAGGCGTTTTCATCGCTCTAGCACGCCTCTATCAAAAGTTATTCGCGAAAAAAAATGTTAGATACCATCCGTGACCTGAGATGACCTCAGGGGCATAAACAGGGGTCACGGATACCATTTTCATGTTCAGTGTGTCTTAGTTACTTGTTATTCAACTTTGGGACTTGGGAGTGTTTATAATGGCTTTCGTAAAAAGCACCTTTCAATTTTCTCCCATTGACTTATAACCCGCGAGTTGCTGGGGGGGGGGGGGGGGGTTAAACGCCCCCACTTTTTTCGCCGGGCCATAGCAGAAAAACGGCGCGCCGCAGGCGCGCCAAATTTTGGGTACCTGTAGGAAATTGATTGAAGTTTATTGTGGCAAAGTTAAAAAAAAAAATCGGTCGGAAATTTTTGAGATATCGAGGTTTAAGTGACGTCATGATTTCTGAGTTTTTGACCAAAAACGGCATATGTTCAAAAAATCATATAAAATCACAAAGGCCGTTTTCACGACGGAATAGCAGGCATCTATTTTATCCCCATTTGATCCTTTGGTTCCTCAGGAATTTTAGTAGTTCTTTTTAGTAGGTTCCCCAGCTTTCGAATGAATGGTGCGTTAGTTTGCTATTTTTCTATTAAATATCACATCGATTTACTTTATCTAAGGATTTATCACTAATATCAACATAAAGCGTAAGCACAATTATAAAATTATGAAATTATTAAATACTAGTACAATAGTTAAAAAAAGATACTGAGTTGCCAGGCTACAAAGAATATATTCATTTATGGCGCACGACAGACATTTAGAAAGCAGCGCCCTGTTTTATTGCACGCTGCTAGCCGCTTCCATTGGGTTTTGCAGGCCGACGTCATTGGTCGTTACACGTATGATGTCACGCGACTTGTGGCCTGTCACGGCTCTTTAATGATCTCCACTAAATGAATGCAACAATGGCCTTTTAAGTTGATCTCTGTGGCCATCTGTCTATGGAGCAGGGCCTCGGCTAAGGAATTTTGACTGGTGGGCCACTTGGGCAGCGACATGGACTGACCTTCGTAGCCATAGCCCCCCCCCCCCCAATTTTCGATTTCTCCCCAGATTTCGGCCACTTTATTCTGCAAAAAAAAAAACGTCAGGATGGCATTCAAAAAATGTATAAAAAAACGGGGCTCGACCCCCCCCCCCCCGACTCTTCAGAGAGAGAGAGGAGGAGAGTAGGGACACACAACCCTCTCAGTGGTGATACTCCCGCGGTGCACATAAAATCGCACAAGCACGGAATATATAGTCTACGACATATCGTAGTACATATCGACATATCGACATGTCGTAGACTATATATTCCGTGGCACAAGTATGCACACAATATTGACGCAGATTATAAAACTTTGGACGATAACTTAAGCCCTTGTTACACTGCCGAATTTTGGTACACGAATGTGCACGAATATGCAAGTCATCCTATGTCGCGGACCGATTCGGGATTTTTCTTCCACGGTCTTTGCATTTCGCAGACCAGTCGGTGTCCTTCGCGCGTCTTTTACGGTTCGTCACGACCGCCACGAATATTTCATGAAAAATGAAAATTTCGTGGACGTTCGCCGAACTTGTAATAAACGAACATGATCGCCAAACAGTCGCCGAGTCGCCGCCGACATGTCGCTGCGTGCGCCGACTTGTTGCCAAAATATCGCCGACTATTCGCTACAGATTCGCCATTCATTTGCGATGTTCGCCGAATCATGGATCAGCTTCGATCCGCGCACAATTAGGGGGCCCCCCACCCGTTTTTTGCAAATAGGGCTCTGTCTGCGACACTGGCGGATCCAGGGTTTCAGCGCGGGGGGGGCATACCAGGTCACGGAGCCAAACCTAGGGTACCCCCAAATCCTGTTTTCTCATCGGATTTAGGCCACTTATTTTTCGTCATAGCCCTGACACGAGTTTTTTTCTAAAAAAAAAAAAAACAGAAATGGTAGGACAACTGACCCCCATTGGCAGATCCAGGAGGAGGAGGCTTTTGGGACAAATACCCGGGTAGCGCCAGAAATCGACGAAAATTGGTGGGGCCGTTGGGGCCCTCAGAATGACTGGTGTATAGAGCCGACCCAGGGCCGCCGGTGTGGAACCTTAAGAGGTACTGGCGTGGGACCATCAAAGGTATCGGTGTGGGTTCCCCAGAGGCAGTGGTGTGGGGCCCTCAGAGGCACTGGTGCAGGAACCACAAAGAAGCCGGTGTGGGCACTCTAAGGTGCTGGTGTGAGGCCCTCACATGGACGCCGTTGTGGTGCCTCAGACACTGGTGTGGCGCTAAGCCTACACCATTCACAGATGGATGTGTGTGGGGCCCTTGGAGTTGTTGGTGCGAAATGCGAATGTTTAATAACCCAGTGGGACCTCTCAGAGACCGACAAAGGGCCCTCAGAGGCCGGTAACGGGCCGTATGATGCCAACAATGGGCCTTCACAGGCCGGCAAGTGAGGGCCGGCAGTATCTTCAGGAGCCCTGTGGAGTCCTTAGAGATCGGCATGGTACTCTCAGACGCCGGTGGGTCCCTCAGTGTCACCGGTGTAGGACCTACTGAGTTACCGGTGGCTGGCTGCCAGAGGCACTGGTGTGGGGCCCCAGAGGCGCCGGTGTGGGACCCTCAGAGTCGCCGATGTGGGGCCTCAGGAGATACTGGTGTCTCAGAGGTGGCGCTGTAGGGCCCTCAGATGTGTCTGTGTGGTGCCCTCATAGTCGCCGGTGAAGACTTTCAAAGGCATCGTTGTGGGAGTCCTTACTCCTCAGAGGCACATGCATGGGGGCAAGGAGTCTTCAAGAGACCAGCAAGGGCCAACAGAGGCCTTCAGGAGCCCTGTGGGATCCTGGAGACCGGCGTGGTACTCTCAGGCGTTACTGGGAGCCCTCAGAGTCACCAGTGTGGGGTCCACAGAGTTGCAGGTATAGGTAGCCGTCAGATGCGCCTGTGTAAGACCTTCAGAGGCGCCAGTGTGGGTCCCTCAGAGCCGCCGCCGATGTAGGGCCTTAAGAAATATTGGTGTTAATCCCTCAGATTGGCGGTGTTGGGCCCTCAAAGGCGCCGGTGTGAGACCCTCACAGGCGCCGTTATGGGGCCTCAGAGACACTGGTGTGGAGCCGTTCCATGCGGGTATGGGCCAGGACCCGAATTAGAGCTGACGCTTAATAGGTCAGCAAGGTCACTCAGAGGCCAGCACAGGGCCCTCAGAAGCCGGAATGAGGTCCTTATGGAGATGTGTGATGTGTGGCGACTCAGGAACCCGTGACTCCGTGAGGTGCTCTCACGAGTCCTGCGGGTCTTATCTCAGTCGAAATAAGACACGCTTGGACCCTGAGCGGCCAATTGGCACTGCAGGGCCTCTGGGGCCCATAGGGCACCATGCATCTAATGAGGCGGCACGCGCCCCTTGTGCCCCCCCCCCCCCCCGGTTACGCTGCACTGGCTGCGGCCATACAGGTAAATCATATTCTAACCGTCCCTATTCCCAAGCATAGGCGGCGGCCGATTCCTGGTTTGCGCAATATGAGTGCCATCGTTAGACAATACGGTCAAAATGGTTGAAGCGGCATGGCTCCCCTGTGGTAAGAACTAAGAAGCAACATATTTTTTAGACAAAATAAAGCAATGACAACTAAATTGAGGTTACTAAAACGACTCTGATCACAAAAGTAGTTACAAAAAGTAGTAGGAAGGCTTTCGAATCCATTTTTATTTAGTTCCTCGTTATAGGCGTAAGAAGTGAGTCTGAACGGGGGGGGGGGCATACTTGTACTGAATGCCCTCCCCAGGCTCCTGTCGGGGGGGGGCATATGCCCCTAATGCCCCCCCCCTGGATCCGCCAGTGGTCTGCGAACTGTTCGCCTCTGTCGGCGAACTGTTCGCCGATTTCCTACACGACGTGATTCGGCGACAGGGTCGTGGCCAAAATTCGGCAGTGTATGTACGGCCTTTACGGCCGTGAGTGGATCGCT